CCCTACCTTTCATCTTGGGGACTTCAACCCTATGTTGATGCGAGGAAAGGCAAATTGTACCATTAGCAATAATACCAGGTCCTGCACTGACACTAACTGACTGGTCAAGGGTAAAATATCCAGTTTCACGTCCAATACCTACTTGGTACTGCTAAGTGTATTGGTGTTCTACGTAAGTGATTTGTTTTATAAGCATTTTCAGTCTCATCAGAGATGGTGTTACAATACTGATGGGAAGAGTTAGAAAATGGTCATCTTAATTTGCTGTACAGCCTCCCAATATCTATGCAAAATGTAAATAATGGAATCAAATCATTCCAGAAAGACATTTTCGAATGGTTTGAAGCAGATTCCCCTTGGATTCAGAAACTCAATCATTAACCAAACAAACTTATTCTAAGCATATCAACTTTTAGTTTTAGAGCACTGACCCACGATTCCTGTTGATGTGATAGTATAAATACCGTTTAAAATGACTTGTTAACCAAAACTTGAGCTATGGAGGTTTGTTTGGGAAAAATGTTAGCGAAACCCTGATGTAGTTGTTTCAGTTGACCTCACTTCATCGTGTTACACAACTAGTAAGATTAAGACCCCAACCACTCAGGAATTTCACAGGTTGTTCTTGGGTTTTTGATTCAGTCAAATAGTAGGAAGTGCGATTTCCAACTGATTCCTACTAGATAATAGCATTAGTTCCATTTGATTGCATGGCACAACAAGAACCGAAACAATTTGATGCACTTCGGTGTCCAAAATCTAGTAATGTCTCTGGCATCATTTCGAGCTGAACTAACAGTAACATTCAAATGTGGCAACGGACCATCTCTGGTTGTAATGAGCAGTCTATGAACGTTATGAGTATATAATCAAATTATTTACGTATTAGTATTCCTTGCAATTGTCGGTTCACTTATGCAGAGCATATGTACTAGATGAAACCTTTTACAGGAAACCAAAAAAATATTGCGGCTGACATTGTTAGCCATCAATATGTGCAGCTGAAAAATCGAAACCAGAAGAAATGCACCTACATGGTGAACTCTGAACACAAGCCTAGCTTGAAAAGGATCCTGACATAACCGCTTACAATTGCCAAAGTGATCATCACTGCTTTCGTTCATGTATTTGGACTACCAATCACGCACATGTCTGCGCTTCAACCAAAGTAGATTTATGAAAAGGAAACAAATCGAAATTTAAGAATAAGGCAAATATAGTATGCAGTAAGATTGCCAAGGTCTTCATAAAAAGCTCTAAATCACTAAAGCCATTCACATCGAGTCGTGCTGCACCTAAATTTCGAGAGAAACCATGTGAACCAACCTCCAAATACTAGATTGGTTGAACAGGCAAAAATCAACGGGATATACTAGTCTGGAAAGGCCAAGAAATAGTCAAGGTCATCGTGAACATAAACCTCGCCTGGTTAACTAGTTCACTAGTTACTAGCCGGTCCTAAGCCTGGGTATACAGGGAAGGTTGGGCATAGGGCTAGCAACCCTACCCTGTAAAACAAATCTAACCGCTAAACAAACTTCAAAGCACAAACAAAATATAAAAAATGAAAACAAAATTATTCCTCGCTGGAATCGGAGAGGCGAAATGACGCCAGTTGGTGAAAGCCTTCAGGAAGCCAATTGGCCGATGTGTTCTCTCGATGGAAGCGAAAGTAAACGTGGGACATGGAATGTCTGTACGATGTTTGAACCCAGCAAGGCAGCCCAGATTGCAAACGAGATGGGAAGGTATCACATTGTAGTGCTTGGGATTTGCGAAAGCAGATGGAATGGATGGGAGTGGACTCTCCAAACTGTCAACTGGAGAATCAATAATCTACTCCGACATTGTCACTCAGACGACAGCCACGAGCACACTGAGGGAGTGACTATCATGATGTCCCCAAGAGCATCGAAGGCTCTCATGCAGTGGGAACCAATCTCCTCCAGGATCATGGCAGCCAGATTCAACTCAAAAGGAAGAAAGGTCACAATCATACAATGCTACGCCCCTACAAATAATGCAGATGAAGAGAAAAAGGAGGAATTCTACGGACAACTTCAATCAACACTGGACAAGAGGCCAGTTGGCGATATCAAAATCCATTCTAATGGGCAACATGAATGCCAAACTGGGAGCGGACAACACAGGATGAGAACTAACCATGGGCCGAGAAGCGCTCGGTGAGGTGATGAACGAGAATAGAGAATTGTTTGCAGAATTCTGTGCATTCAACGATTTGGTGATTGGAGGCACTGTGTTCAAGCACAAGGATATCCACAAAGCGACCTGAAGTTAATTTCACCAGATGGACACACTACACTAAAAATCAGATCGACTTCATCTCAATCTCAAGAGACGCAGTCTACTTGACACAAGGTCAAGAAGAGGAGCAGGTGCAGGTTCAGACCACTATCTAGTGTAAGGAACCCTCCAAATCAAGTTAAAAGCCGTCAAGGAAGCTGGTGATAGACCTCAATTCAAGTACAACACTCGGAAACTGAAGGATGAAATTACAAAGAAGATCTTCACGGCAGCCAGTCATCAAGACAAAATGGGAGACAGCGAGCAACATCCCTGAAGAAACCTGTGTGGAAGAACACTGGAAGTCTTTGAAAGAGATGTGGAAAGAAACCTGCATAACCAAGCTTATAAGGACGGAAGAAGGCAGAAGATAAGGAATGGATCTCGATCGATACATGGAAGCTGATAGAGTAGGGAGAGGAGGATGGTGAAGCAGAAGATAAACCAGTGCAAGGATGCTCAACGACAAGAGGAACGTAGTACAATGTATAAAACACTGGACAAAGAAGTGAAGAAGAGTGCACGGAAAGACAAAAGACACTTCTACGACACATTGGCAAGTGAAGCAGAACAGGCTGCACGCAAGAGAGACCTGACGACATTGTATCAAATAACCAGGTTGCTATCTGGGAAGAGATCAACACAGATGAAACCAATAAAAGATGATGACGGAAATCTAATTACGAAAGAAGAGAAACAAAGGAAACAGTGGGCCGACCACTTCAAGAAGCTCTTGAATCGACCACCACCTGCAATTCGTCCAGAAATACCACCTGCAGCCCAGCCACTGAACTCCAAGTGAACATAAATCCTCCAACAAAAGTGGAAGTCCTGAACGCCATAAAGCTACTGAAATGTGGGAAAGCAGCAGGACCAGATAGAATCCCGCCAGAAGCACTGAGAGCAGACACAAAGACAACGGCGGCGGACATGCTCACACCACTATTGCAGGTCTGAAAGGAAGGAAGACAAGGTACCTGGCTAGTGATTGGAAGAAGGGTTACCTTGTCAAACTCCCGAAGAAGGGAGACCTCAGTGTCTGCAAGAACTGGAGCAGAATCACTCTCCTATCCACCCCAAGCAAAATATTAAGCCGCATCATCTTGGAGAGGCTAAAGGATGCACTGGATTCAAAACTACGACCGGGACAGGCAGGCTGGCTGGATTCAGGAAGTACAAATCATGCACGGACCAAATTGCAACGCTTCGCATTATCATAGAACAGGAGGAGATTGGATGTAACGTTCACACCATATCTTCAAATTTAGTAGAATTATAAAATGTATTATTCAAAAGAAAAGAGCAGAGTGCCGTGACAGACTCCAATAAAAGTTTTAATTTACGATGGCCGAGAATTGTTAACACTGACTGCGGTATTCCCTGGGGTGTGAATTTCAGATACTATCCCTCTGGATTCGTAGACATCGTTAATTATTCTAGTTTCCAAAATATTAAGAAACCAAGGGAATTTTTGGAACTCAAGGTTAGAATGGTTCCTTTAGACAGTAAATTGGAGAGAATCAAACAAGTCCCAAACCTGTCCACGGATATATCGATCGAATGACAACAAATTGTTTTTGTACACACAGCGGGGGATTAAGTTTACGAATGGCTGAAGTTTGCCGAAGCGTTAGCCATTCGTAAACTTAATCCCCCGCTGTGTGTACAAAAACAATTTGTTGTTTCACTTTATTTACCTTGGTAATCCTTATCTGATTATGTTACCAAGAATAGTGTCACAACCTTTTCATGTTCACCATATTTGACCTTTAATTTTCATATATAAATTGACTTGACAAGTAAATGTGTGATCAGATTGTTCGAAATGCATTGCGCAAATACACCACATGATTCATTTATGGCCTCACTTTCTCAGATTTTTGTAAATACATATATGTCATATATTTGTCTAGTAAAAGTTGTCGTTGTTCTTGCAGTCACGGGCCGTCTTTGTCTTCTGATTTTTCGCGGCTCAGTAAAGCAGAAGGTACTGAGGGAGGTCAGTCGTAAAAGTATTCGGTTGAGGTGTCTATTGAGTCTCAGTATCATTATACCTATGCACGCAACCCTACGCGGTCACAACAAACATAGGGCTTCAATAGCACGTCTCTATTCCGCTCTGTTCTCTGAAATCTTTTGAACCTGGCTCCACAACTGCCCAGGAGCTCTCATTTCTTCCTTACACGATCATCTCCATGTCACCCTTGCCTCGTATGCCCAACTAGCTGTTTCCCATCTGAGTTCCACTCGAGTGTCCCCAAATGGTCTTCTCAGTGCATGCCCAATCCATCTCCACTTAATTCTGCATATTTGTTGAGTGATAGGTTCTTGGTTGGTTCGTTCCCAGAGTTCCTCGTTGCTGATTCTTTCTGGTTGCGAGATGGATGAGACAGTTGTTTTATTTTATAACGTGGAAACTTATCATTAAACTTTTAACGCATATATATGTAAACAGATACATATCGCCAACACCTAAAAAATCTGAGTGGTGTCAAAGAATCCCGTCATCTATGTTTTTTTAACATATACATTCATAGTTCAACGTGGCCTGGTTATATGTAAATTGTCTTACTACGTAAGTATCTAGGTTACACATAGTCATACAAACAACATATAAACTTATCACGTATATTGAATACTCACTAACTCGCAAAATGGACTTAAAAGTCTGTCATGAAACTGATTAACGAAGAACGGTAGGATATTTAATGTTTTATTAATAACTGTAAAGAAAAAAAAGTGAAGTGTCTTAGATTATATAACGATTTAAATTCACTACAATAATTTCTTGACATTCATATGTTTCATATGTGTCATATACAACTCTACGAATTAGGCTACGCCCAGCCACTGCTAACACAATATCATTGTAATGAGAAGGGAGGTTCGCTAAGAAAAAACAACGTAAGTATATATAAATTAAAGTCAAATTACCGGTATATCTATTGACGAACGTCAACCTAAATATCTGTTCGCAAAAAATGAGAACGGATAAGATAAATCAGAACAGCTATCATCATATATATGTGTTTACTTCTCAACCTTTGAATGTAATATTATTCTCTTTTCCCTACAAGTATACAATATATAAAAAGAAGCTAAGATCAATCTAAATATATGATTTGGATAAACAAAATACAGGAGATACGTCATCAGTTGAAGGAAATGCTGCAAAACAATTGGATAGGCTAAAATGTTTACCAGAAGTAATACAAAATGATTTCAAAGGTATATGTGGTGAACAAGTAATTCGTCGTAACTGTGTAATGTATGATGTAGAACAGTTCACTGGGTTACTCTGTCCGTTTATTGCTGTCGTCTGAACATTCTTTCGAGCTGAAGCCAAATGTTTTATGTAGAATTCCAATAAGGTAGAGTTCGATGAATATGATTTATACAAAATATTTACAAATGGTAATGAAGAACATATAACTTGGTCATCTGACGGACAACAACAAACATCTTGATTAAATTTCATCGTTAAATCAATATAATTTTTATTACTGGGAAGTGAATCAATGGCTACGTCTAATGGTTCAATAATTTTGCCAAGATGATGTAAAAATTCATCGGGTTGTGTTTTAATACCTTCAAATGTCAACAGTAAATTGCTGTTGTTACAATCACTGTCATGATTGTCAAGCGTCTGCTGTAAAGCTAGTTCACTGTAAACATATGGAGTGGGAGTGGGTAAACGGCGGCGACCTGGCAGGCCTGGACCAATAGGTTTCCAAAGTGCAAGCCGATTCAAAGGATATAAGTTAGTGGAATCTTTGAAAGGAGGTAATATCTAGTAAGAAAAAGAATAAAAACAATGTTTTCAGGTCCTATGATAAACATCATCATGATTATGATGACACTGATTATTATAAATAATATCACAATAAAATTAGTGTTCTTGTAAGATATTTCACACCACCTTTCGTCTGACAAACACGATACAGTTATAAGCCCTCACACAGTAAGTGTGACTAGTTGCCTAGTTCTCAAAAATTCACATGGTTTCCGAGTCACATTTACACACTCTATCACAATGTTAACTCTTCACTTGGAAATTATTTTTTATAAATTCTTACCACTAAACATATTTGTTTAGTCCTAATAGTTAATATTCTAATTCGCAAAGTGATCAGTGATTAAAGCTATCTTGATTTTCAGGAAATCAGTAAGGAAAATTTAATAGGCTAAACTGCTCACACATCCCACACCAGTATCATGAAATCGCAAGAATAAGATTAGGTAACTCATAATGAAACAATTAGTTGGGGCATTTATTTTTAATGCAAAATGTCCTCAGTTTAACAGTATTACAAGTTATCTAACTTTCTCAAAACAAATTTAATTAATGAACAGAGTACTGACCACTTTATCTACATGAAAAGCTCCATAACCTACCTTCCTCATCGATGAATAAATCCTGACATCGACAAAGGCAGCTCAGTTGACTTTCACCCTCACACACAATCCCCAAGAAACATACAAATACCTGGTGGGGGTATATGATAATGTGAAGAAGTGTTACCCGTTTCAATACATATCTGTCAGTCATGGGATCTGTGTAAAGCTTGCAAACCTTTACACAATTGCTCATGTGTGGTACGATCATTGTGTGTCTAGTGAAAAGGTTAAGGGGTAGAGTGCCTGATTAAAAGGGTTAGATCAACTCTTGAATCTGTCTGTGATCGATCACGAATGAATTGAGTGAGGTATGTGTTACGCATATGCAGTTAATAGTCAGTTCAGTAGAACATTAGAAGCAGTAATAGTGGTTGAGAATACCCTCACCACATTAGTCACCCCGTGACAGAACATTACTCCATGAAGGTTTCGACTGCAAAGTTGTGAAATTTAGTGTTTCACCGTTAGGATCCACGAGACACCGATAATGCATATCCAACGAAGTTCTTAGCTAAGCGTATGAACTCGTTCCACACAAAAATCGGTAAAGTTGTGACGCAGTACCTAAAAGATGGTACAAAAAGACTGTTCAATACACAAAAGTTATCCTACGTATTATAACAATTGACTCATGTTGACTTTGCGAATAGAAAGCAAATCATCCAATTTCATCTACTCCGTATACATTTACCAGTTTAACTCCTCTGACTCACCAGACAGTTACTTACAGTGAGTGTACAAACTGGTCATCCCGTCGTCGACGTGTTAAACACCTGTATTGATAAGCAGAAGACAGATAGGATCGATGCGTAGCCCCATACTCCCTGATCTCCTTGATACTGGATATCCAGTCGATACCATTAATATCGTTAGAATTATTTTGAACATTCTTTCCAACCTCACCTATGCTTTATGACTCCGTTTTCACATACAGCTAACACCATCAGGATTCACCCAAACAACAGGTCCCGTGTGTTTGGAATTAATTCGTACAGCCTCTTTCTTTGTCTTGGTCATCCGTATACACTACCTATACAGATATAACTCTTTTCCACATTCACACCAAAAACTATTACCTAATTAGCGACATTATTACAACAGTTTTAACTATTTCATTCTTCATTCTTTGTCTCTAACCCTTCCCACGTCATTACCGTTAACAACTGGTCACTCGACATAATTATCCACTGTCCTTTTTGTTAACTATTACTATATAAACTAACAATTTTGTATCAACATGTCTAAACTTCCTTAAATATACTGTATAATCATTCTACGCTTTAGCTACTGCCGTAAACTAATCGATTTGTTGTCACTCTTGGTGTCTTGAAATTGATAAAATGCTTACCAAATAATTATCACTGCTAGACTGGTATATAATTTTTGTTTTGAAGATACAAATTAGTGCGAATATTCAAGCCTTGGAAGACATCAAAGAGTGAAGACATCTGTGTCATGGTGACCGATTTCCAGCAACGTCACCAAGAATTCTCAATCACCGATTCCTATCGTCTCGGTGACCCCAGTCAGATGATCTACATCGCCCCGTTAGACCAGCAGTCAGAACAACAGTCAGGGACATCATCGACAGGTGTCAAGTTTTGATTTGGCCACTGTGAACACTCTCCCAGCATAATCCAGCTTCCCGTAACATAACACGGTGATGTAGGCGATGACTCGGCATGCTCAGCAAATGTTCAAGCCATCACAGTCATCAAGGTTCACGACCTCATCAATCGACTTGCCTGTCTTACCGATTAGCGTTAGCCTGACGTCGACATTGCTCACATGGTGATCCAGCATCGTCGAGCAATGCTACGAAGACATGTGTGATCAAAACCCAGTAATCGCTTCGTGTCACCTACCTTTAACAGCGATGTTTCACAGCTGTATAGCAGTGCAGAAGGGACTGTGGCCCTACTGACTCATCCTGTGATAGATAGTCGAATATCTTGGCAGTCGGCGTCACAGGTGACGCAAGTTATCAAATACCGAACGTGCCTTCTGTATCTGAGTTGAGATTTCGTCATCAACCAACCTATTCAGGTTGATGCCACTCCACAAGAAAGTGAAGTGGTTGACACATTCCACCACTCCACGCTCTTGCATTCGACCAGTCCTGGAGCATCATATTACATTTGACAGGTGTGAGACTTATGTTAAACATTCTCCGATTTCTGCTGAACGTCTTCACAAGACCCTGGATTGCTTCAGCGTCTTCAACAAGCAGGACAATATCGTCTGTATAGTCCTAGTCAATCAGGTAACCTCTAGGGAGTAGGTCAATCCCTATGAAGTCAGACGTACCTAATGTTATGTCAGTTAGCACGTTTATCACGAATTTACCTGGGAAGTTTGACAGTGAGCATCCCTAATGGATACCACTAGTTGTCGTCAATTCACATGACAACTGTCTATGAACCAGCCCGTTACACGGCTGCGTGAGTTTGAGTTGGGATCTTTGACTCGCGCTGTATGCTTGCTTTGTACTCTCTTCACAGTCAGATACCGCCGCAATACCTCACGGTCGAAAGATTCACATATCGCCTTCAGGTCAAGAAACATGGCAAATATTGTCCACCGGTAGTTATGTCTGTGTTTCATGACCTGTCGTTGGTTGAAAATATTGTTGATGCACCACCCTCCTCCAGATCTGAAACCTGCAAGATTTTCTCGAGCTTTCTGTTCTCGAGCTCTATTAAGATGTCGGGTTACTATGGTCCCTAGGATCTTGGACACAGTAGTAGTCAAATTAATTAGCCAGATTTTCGGTTGAAGGAATTAGGGATCGCTGTACTACTGTACTGACAGCTGCTTAGTATTGTTTAAATTTTAGGTGTTTGGTCTGCTCTTGATGTATGTTTTCTACCATTCTTTTCCAATAATTTACCCGTATAGAACCATTTTTTAGCTTTTTCATTCTGATATATTTATTGAGCAGTTTTGAGTTAAGTAGTGTCAAAAACGTAATATATCTAGTAGAATTACTAATGTTGGACGTATATGAGAACTAGAATAATGATAATAATAATACGTTTTAAGAATATTCTTAATCGAAATAGTTCATATGTTTTCTTGACTATCAGGTTCGCATTAGAGTGAGATATGTTATAAAGCTAAATGTTTGCATGTTCCTCAGACGATGATAGTGATAATTAACTCAGTTCTACTGCATAAGCGTTGTCGTCAACTTATTGGTTACATGGTTTTTGGGTATACATGGAGGTTATTGTTGATACTTTCATATTGATTCGCCAAAGATGAAAAGACCACATACATTTCAATGCAAATTTTCGGTTCTATGAAGTATTCCTTATTTAATAGCAGCCCGTATATCTACGTATTATTTAACGGGGGGAGGTTTTCAAACTGGATTGTAGTTGCTTTCTGTATTAGTATATATTAAAAAAAGCTGGTAGAATTGTTTGCCATATTCTGTCTAACAGATGAAATGCTTTTATTACGTAGTTCTTTCATCTATCCTTTATTTACAGGGCAGCGAAAACTGAGTATTGAAATTTTCACTAACATCACTTGTTAAGTATTGTGATGAAGTAAAGTGTTAAATAGCCAATAATTGTTCAAAATACTTGCAGCAGCCTACTTCTCAATTTGAACTACCATGTACTTCTATTCAATTAAAAAAAAATGGAGTAAAGTCAAATGAACAACAGTTATAGAATATACATTGGTTTATGTTGTGGATTCACGTGAACTGCTTTATAACGTATAAGTTATGGTGTAGATACTTAATAAAACAAGACATATGACGTACTTTAACAAGGTTGTTTTGATTGAGACGAAAAATGGATGCATATTGTTTATAATTATTGAAACGAAATGAAGTTGGTGAGACTAATCGGATTTTAATTATCTATAGAATGTTACAGTGAATATCCCAAGGACGATATTAATTATTGAAATGAATTTGGAAATAATTATATCTTACAATCGGCAAGAAACTAACAACGAATGTACTTGTGTTCTATAACCTTGCAGAATGTGAAAGTCTGATTGACAGACTCATAAGTAGGTCTGAAACATGCCTAGTTTTCTCTTGTTTACTATTCTCGAGCTCCATTCATATGTCTAATGATTGTAGAATCTACAATATTCCTCAGGCTTATTCCCTTGGAGTCATCACAAGAAGACTTTTCGCCTTTCTTGGAGACCGGAGCAATCAATGAGACCAATCAAAAGGGATAATATCTCTAACTCTCGTACAGTAGCTAAAAGTCCAATTAATCTCACCAATAATTCTCTAACGGTCTTTGAATGCCTCTAGTGCTAGTCCGTCTGGTATTGCTGCTCTTCGTTTAGGATTATTTGCAGCTTTCTCGAATTCTGTATATGTGGTTGGGGGGGGGGGCTATCTTGATTTTCCATTCAGGC